GAGGACAGACTGCTATTTATAACTGCAAGAACAGGCTGCCCTATGCTAGATAAAATATCTTTAAAAAATCGTGGAGGGACAGGATCATGGGGGGAACCTGATGGCTTAATGCGGCCAACCACGTCCTCTAAAAGTGAGACGGTCACAAGCTCAAATTTTTTGAAAACAGCAGAGCAAGGGACTGAAACTGARGGGTCAGAGTCAGGAGCTGTGATAAGAGCCCTGGTACTACTAACCTTTTCAGTGAAGAAATGCATAAAATTATGACACATGTCAGGAGAAGCTTCCATACAGGCATCCTGTGGGATATTAAGCACAGAGTCAATGGTGTCAAATAAAACACGTGGGTTATGGCTGTTTGAGGTAATGATATTAGCCAAATATTCCCTTTTTGCCTCTTTAACCGTGCTCTGGTAGAGACGCCAACAGTCTTTTAAAATCTGAAGAGTAACCTGTAGTTTATCCTTTTTCCATCTGCGTTCAACACGACATTCCTTTCATGTATGTTTTTCACAGACCAAACACATACATTAGTTCGGAGGTTTTAAACTTATTTTCACAGAGAGTCACATRAGCGTTACGGTGGTCCTCAAATGGTCATTTGTAAACATCTTCAGTGTTTCATGTTTAACATTAACTAAACGGAAAACATCAGGTTCCTTGTCTCATTGACTGAACACTGCTGATAATAACTGAGCTCTAACTGGTATTTTCTGCACAGAAACAGCGTTTTAACACTTACATTTTTATCTTACTTTCTATGGGTGTTTCTTATTTTTCTTTTATTCATCATGAAGTATTTGATTCTAGTTTGATATTTGTAGCTTTGCATTTTGTAATGTTTGTGTGCTGCTGCCGTTTCTTGGTCAGGTCTCTCTTGAAAAAGAGATTTTTAATCCCAGTGAGATCTAATAATAATAATAATGAATTTAATTTGTACCGCACTTTTCATTAACAAAAATCTCAAAGTGCTACAAAAAAAACAAAAAACAACTCTGTTG